ACTCCGCGCCGCAGACCCCTTGACACCCGCACCCGGCGCTGGCGCAGCGCGCTCTAGACCCGGGCTCCGTGCGCAGTTGTCCGCCCGACGCTCCTACTCGCGCCGTTCTCCGGGACCCTTTGCCCGGTCGCTGGACTCCAAGTGACCTTAGGTCCTCAGGCGGCAGTGAACCCCATGGCCCCCCAGGGGGCTGAAGTAGGAAAAGCCTGAGTACCCTCAGACGGCGCCCCGTCCACGCCCCTCCGGGCTGCGCGGCGGGAGTCTCGGGGAGCTATGCTGAAGCCGGGTGGTGCGGAGGAAGCTGCGCAGCTCCTCCCTCGGCGCGCCCGCGCCCCAACGCCCGCATCCGCGTCTAGACCCGTCGCCCTCGACGGCTCCCGGACTTCGGTCCGCCTAGGTCTTGCCTGCCTTCTGCTGCTGCTGCTACTGACGCTGCCCGCCCGCGTAGACACATCCTGGTGGTAAGTAGGTCCCAGGGTTGGGCGGCTGAGAGAGGGCAGAGGCCCGGAGCTGGCTGCTCAGGGGACCCGGCTGTTGCTTCGACGGAGTTAGAAACGATCCTGGCAGGACTGTCACTGAAGTTTCGGAGAGGCGAGGGAGGCCCCGGGGGGCGGGGGTTGAGGCGCTGCGTCTTACCCGCCTGGTAAGCAGAGGCCGGACATTTGGGGCGAGCACACCCGATGGTAGAAGCTCCCAAAGGCCCATAGGCTGAACTCCTTCTGTCAGCTCAAGCCTCTGGGGCAGAAGCTACCTTCTAAATTTCTCTCATGGTGAGTTTAAGGAACCAATTTCCCTTCCAGCCCCGCCACCCCATCACCTAAGGTCACCTCCTGGAAGGTGGAGAAACGGGCAGTGGCGAGATCAGAGGAGCCTGTCACTAGCCTACCCCACCCAGAAAGGAAAGCTTTGGTGAGGCAGCGGCACTAGCACGAGGTTTAGAAATGGAATCGAGGCAAAAACTACCCCATTAACGCCCACAATTAAAACAAACAAAACACTTGCGTGTGCAATAATCTAGCCATTTGTCTTCAGCCTCTACTTTGATGTCACTTGGAACTCTGATGTCTTGTATCCTCTCTTCTTACCCAAATGACCCTATCTCCCATCTCTCCCCTCCAAGAGCCAGAGGCTTCTGGAATCCTTAAGTAGGGAGACCCTCTCTTCAGAGTTCCTGCAGGCCTTAGACTCGAGACACTTCACAAGACGACATGAGGCAAAAGACATGAAAAATCCACTGGATGTCTGTTGTTCTTTTCAGAATGCCCCCACCCCACCCGAGGTGCTGCACCAACCCTGGATGGCACTCCTTGTCTCTCCGGAGAAAGCTGCTCTCCCTCCTCCCTGTCTTGCGGGGGGGAGGAGGGGGGGAAGAGTTGGAGCTTTCTTCTTCACCCCACAACTGCCTCAGAGATTGGGCTACTGCCCTATCCCCTGTCGTGCAGTGCCCCCCCCTTCTTTACTCTGCTCCTCCTCCAGTGCAACCTCTCCCCGCCCCCCTCCAGTCCAAAGTGTGGTCTCTTCTCCCCTTGCACCCTGTGGCTTTTCTTGACTTGGAATCTTGGCTGGAAGGGCGAGGGGTAGTTGGCTGAGGGGCCAGCCAGCCTGGGCTGTAGATTCCTATCATTGTTTTAGAAAAATCTCTCTTTTGGATCTTTTTTATCTCTGCAGTGTTGGGGAAGGCAAGGAGGGGGGTTCTGGATGGGGGAGCAGGGAGGGCTATATCTTACATCTGGCTTAAAGCATTCCTTTGGAAAGGGAAAGGGAAGAAGGGGGACAAGGAGAAAAGCCTTTCAAAGTTCACAGCAAGATCAGAGCTACTCTTGCCGTTCAGGGGCTCAGTTTGACTGGGGACTTGGGTCTTCTGGGTCCCTGTTGAGACAGCATGAAGTTGCTGCTTCCCATCTTTATCTGGCCCAGGGAGCAGTTTGCTTATAGCGACTCCTGATCACTTCTCAGCACTGGGGGAGGTAGTCCTGAGGACTAGCTGGTGCTGAGAAGTGTCACTCAGAATTTCGCCATCCTGGTAGTGGTCCCTAAAGGTTCAAGTGGGGTTCTTCCTCATCCCCATTCTGAATCCTTCATCATTCCCTCTCACTTTTTCTTGCTCCCTCTTTTGCCTTCTTCCCACATGGTTCATATTAAAGATTTGGTTAAGCTCCCAAGGGGAAGAGCTAGCAGGGGGGAAGCAGGTAACACACCAAGGTACTTCTCAGCCTCTGTGAAATGGAGAACGGTGGCACCAGGATCAGGATGGGGAGTGTGTGCGGAGGTCACGGCATTCTCCTTGCCCCACGCCTGTTGTAGCTTCAGGCCCACGTGCCGACCTCAGAGGTTACCGCTTCTGGGACAAAGTGAAAAGATGTCTTCTAAAGGAAGCTCAGGCCTCCAAGGTGATTGTATTCTCTTGGGAAAACCCCAGCAGGATCAATATTCCGTACAACCTTGGAAGAGATACTGTGTGTGTTCACAGCCCACTCTGGAGCAGAAGGCCTTCGCTATCACCGTCTTACAGTCTGATCTGCTTCACTCCTCACTCTCCACCACTCTCTCCTCTCAGTTTTTAGCTGGTGGAGCAAATGGTCCTAGTCTGACAGAGAGACGAAAGAGGGGACTCCTGTCCTGTGCGTCCCTGTTCCGTATGCATCCTGCAGAGGACTGCATCTAGAGAATCACAAGAGCAGGCCTGAATTCAGGGGTTTACAAAGAGAGAGGAACAGGGCGGCATCATGAGTGAGCATCTCTGTTACCGACGAGAGTTGCCATTCGCTGAGCCCTTACGGTGCTCCAGGCGCGCCAGCCAAGCACCTTCTGGGCGTCACCTTCTTCAGTCCCATAATAACCTAGTGGGGTAAGTACAGTATCATCCCCATTTCACAAGTGCAACTGAGGGATAGGAAAGGAGTGTTAGAAAGTTTGTGCAAGTTTACACCAGTTTTGGGGCCAGACTGTTCCACACTTAGGTAAGCAGAGTGTGCCTCTCTTGCCCATGGGGTGAAAATGAGCCTGGTCTTTGGAGTCAGGTGGCTTTGGTTCATCCTGGTTCTCCTTTGCCTATCCTTGATGGACAGAGCTGATACAATCGCTTTATCACTGGATCTCCCTGAGCCTGTTTCTTCACCTCTAAAATGAAGATCTTTCTTTATCATGGGATTTCTGTGCAGAAAAATGCTTTGTGGGCCCAGCCCTGTAGCACAGGGGTTAGATGTTGAGCATGGGGAGCCGGATTCCATATGGCTGACCATATGGGTTCAAATTCCAGACCCTGTGGCCTGAAAAACACACCAGAAATCCTGACAAGGTGGAGAAATAGAGGATAAAAGACTGCAGCGTGACCATGCCTCACAAGAGGTTCTCTCTCTCTCTCTCTGGCAAGTGGAGATGACCTCTGGCAATAAAACATTTTAAAAAGAAAGAAAGAAAACAAAGAGAACATGAAAAACATAATTTAGAAAGTGTCTTGTGAACTGTGAAGTTCTATACAAATGCTGTGACAGTAAGAGCAGATTTGAGGAGGCTGATAGTTTACTCCTATGTTCAACGTTCTATATGTGCTAGGCAAAACCATGTACACTAGGGGTTATCACTAAAGGAAGGAAAGAGAAGATCCCTGACTTCACTGAACAGACATAAATAAAACATCTGCAAACAGGCTGACCATGTTGACAAACAGTAAAGCCAGAACTGAAGTTGATGGCTGGCTAGGGGGAGAAGAGAGTTATGGGTAAGTCAGAACAGTTAGCTGTTTATTTGACAAACAGTTATTGAGCACCTACTATGCACCAGACACTGTTTTCATTACTGGGGATACTGAAGTGAACAAAACAGACAAAAGTCCCTGTCTATGTGGAACAGTGCATCCAAACCCCCTGGGGGCCTGGGGGATATGTAGTCCGACTCAGTGGGCCTGGGGTGGGCTTGAGGATCTGCAAGTCTAACAGATGGCCAAATGATACAGATCTGGCTGTACAGAGATTGCTGCAAGGTGTGTAGATAATCACACTTTGAGTCGCAAGAGGCAGAGTAGGGTATGAGCCACTTTGTGACATGAAGAAATATGAACTGATCAGAAGCAGGTAAAGAGAGCACTCTGGAGCAGGAAGGTGGGGAGGAACCAAAGCTAGAGAGTCAGGGGCATCAGGTACCCACTCCAGATCACGGCATGGGGAGAGGGTGTGCCTTAGGCATCTCTGTGCCCTAACAGCTGGGCAGTGTTTGACACACAATAGGCATTTTGCAGCCATGTGTTGAACTGAGGGAGATGGGCTTGGCCTTGAGCTCAGCTTTACCAGAAGCCCCAGCACTTGCTTCGAAAAGACAATTATTAGACAGTAGCAAGTGCCATGCTCTGCAGATTATTTAAGTTTTTGCTATAGGGTGTGTGCTCTCACCAGAGAGACAGTGACAGAGAATGTGAGAAGCCATCCCCGGGGTGTGTGTGGGGGGGGTGGGGGTGACCACACTGCAACTCCTCTCCATTTTTCTCCAGGGATTTTTGGGCATGTACACACGTGAACCTGATGTGATTTTTCAAACTTCCAAGTCCAGGACTCGAACCATGGTCAGCCATGTGGGAGTCCAGTGCTGTAACCAACTCACTACCTCTCTCCCACTCTGCAGATTCTTAAAGCAGTTACTCAGCAGAGTAAGGGTGGTAGTAGATAAATTTAATTCCCTTGCCATCTTAGGTCCTGAACAGATGTTCCCACGCTCCGAGAGGATGTAACAAGAAGGACCGCTGTGGGCTACAGCAAAGTAGATTTAAGGCAGACCACAGGAAGGACTTTTTCCAGAGTTTGGCCTGCCTGACTCCAGCCTCTTTCATGAGGGCTGGATTATTGGTCTCCCATTCCCATCTAACACTCCTCCTCCCAAGCCCCAGTTTAAAATAAATAAATAAATAAAAAACCACCCAGTGCCTAGAGCAGCACTCTGGCGCTGAACTGGGAAAGCAGAATGGTGGTGAGACAGGGACGAGCTCCAACTCCAACGGTCTCGATTCTCCAAACAAAGCACCACGGCAGTGGGTGTAACTCCAGGCTGTGCGTCAGGCAGCCCTTTCCGGCCTGGCCCAGCCTGGGGTGTTTATTTTGTTTGTTCCTGGAAGCTGTTACCCTGATGGACAGTGCCGGGGACGCTGATTCCATGGGATTTGTTAGTGGAGGCCCGGCCCTCTCAGCTCTCCCCCGGGACAGATGGGCCCCATCAGCCCTGCTGAGTTCCCGAAGAGGCAAGCATCAGCCCTCCTTGTGTTTGTTTGAGTTGGTGTCACCAGTGGTGATCCAGTCTGTGGGTGAGGGCTGGCTGTGGGAATGCAGTGTGTGTGTGGTGGGGGGTGGACACAGAGCCTAGGGAAGTCTAGTTTTTCTCCTCCCCCCACTGGCTGCCCTCCCTTCTCCTCACCCACTTCTAGGCCCATTTTGGGGCTGTTCCCAAACCACAGGCTCATTCATAGCTCAAACCAAATCTTTTTCTGTCTGCAGCAACAACTGCCCTCCATGGCCTCCACCTGTTCAGAAAGGGGAGGAAGGTCATCCCTTCGATGTATTTTGAACAAGAAAATAGAAAATTCATAGCAAATCTAGAAGGTGCTCTGGGGTTGCAGGGATAAAAACAGGAGTAAGAAATGGAGCTGGTCTTGAGCAGTTACGCTGGAGGATGTAGGTGGATGGATTAGATCTCATTGGTGGTCTCTTGGTGATAGACTTCTAATTTCTCCATGAAATATTCTTCCTGAGGCGTGTGGTGGAGTCTAGGGCTAAGTGTGTTTGAGAGAAGAGAAAACATTTCCTTGGGAGCCTTGAGAATGACTTTAGCAGCCCACCTATATTCTTTAGTAGCCCATACCAGCTGCCCTCTTAATTGTTCCTACTGGCAGACTGGGGAGCTTCACTTCCTTCCCAGCTTCCTGCCCTTAGGGAAAGTCACTCTGTTAGTTCATCTTCACCCCTGGCTTCCCATGAGACACCATGCCTGTGAGGTTGAGGAAGATGGTTTTAAAAGGTTCCTTAGTTAGGATAGGACCTGGCAGGGTCAGCAGGTGGTGTAATGCAACTAGATTCAGAGGGAAAGGTCCTGGGTTCACATACTCGGACTTCTCAGAGCGTGCTGGTCATGCACCCAGCCTATGATCTGGACCAGCTAAGATGGGACAGATCATAGTGTGAGGACCCTAGTGGGGGGTGCCTGTGTCTCTCTCATGAAACCAACCAACCAATCAACCTTAAAAAATAAAATCAGTCCTGGGACCTGGAAATAAAGGGTATGGGGAGGTAAGTTATGGGTGGGGTCTTCCTCCCTAGACCTCAGGATTAGGAATAAGAAATGTTGAACGACATAGGTCTGACTAGAGCTCTAAACATTCTCACAGTTGGCTACTGTGTCTCTTCCCACTGGCCCCTCCCTGTCTCCATCCTCTTGCCATCCAGCCACCTCTATACGAAGCAGCCACCAGTGTGTCCCTTTCACATGTGGGTGTAAGAATGTTGTCTCAGACCCTTGTTTTGTTAGTTTTTTCCATGAAACTCTTAATGTTTATTAAATAAATGAACAATGGGTTTGTGTGATGTGCCTACAGCTTCTGTGTGTATGACACATGCCTGGCTTGTGTTCTGGAGTTTGTGTCACTGTGGCCTTTGGCTGGGAAACTGGTGATGGTGGGAGACCACTTGGTTACTCTCTCTGCAACTGCATCACCTCCAGAGCTTGTGTGGAACAGTTCTATCCCTTGGCTTCAGTATGTGGGCTGGGGAGGGGGAGAGCCCTCTAAGAGCTAGAGGTCAAAACTCAAACCTCCCCCTTGCTGTCCCTCCTCTCCGCAGAAAAAGGGCCAGGATGCTCTGACAGGGCCATTTCACCTTGCAGGTACATCGGGGCACTGGGGGCCCGAGTGATCTGTGACAATATTCCTGGTTTGGTGAGTCGGCAGCGGCAGCTGTGCCAGCGCTACCCAGACATCATGCGCTCAGTGGGCGAGGGAGCCCGAGAATGGATCCGAGAGTGTCAGCACCAGTTCCGCCACCACCGCTGGAACTGCACCACCCTGGACCGGGACCACACTGTCTTTGGCCGTGTCATGCTCAGAAGTAGGGGCTTCTTCCACCCTGCCCCAGCGCTTTCCCTTCCTCTACTTGGGTGGTGAATGGGAAGGGCAGGCCTGCTGCCTCCCTCCCCAATATACTACTTCATAATCAGAAACAATGGGGGACAGAGCTGAGAACACTCTCTCAGTACCTTAGATTTGTAGGCAGGGGCTCTTCTAAATCTCAGTGCTCTGAGATGACAGGATAAAGGCAAAGCATTCCCTATAGCTTCCCTCATTTTCTCTGCCCTCCCCAGTCCACAGCCTGGGGGAGTCCCTGCACTGTAAAACTGAGGACTAGGAATAGTTCTTACCACCACCATCACCACCATCACCCCAACATTCCCAACACTACAGTAATGGTAACTAGAGATAAACAGAAAGGTGATATGTAAACACTTGAAGAGTCAGTGGCTTGGCCCCAGCTCAGTAAAAAAATTAGGCTAAACTAGACAGTAAACAAAGAGAAAGGGCTGCCATGGGAATCTGGAGGTGTCAAGGATACAGGGATGACGATTCATCAGTTCTGGAGAACAGGGAGGGAAGGAGAACAGGCAGTGGAAGAAAGCAAGTCTCTTCAACAGGCTGACCCCTGGGCAGGGGTCTCCATTGTACAGGAACTGTCCAGCAGAGAGGGCCTGAAAAGGCCTGGAATGTGGCCCAAGGCAGGCTTAGCTGAGCCAGTGTTGCCCTCGGTTGGGGGGAGGGGGATGATTCACCATGAGACTTTTCAATGGATGGACACAGGGAATTTGGAAGGAAACAAGAGTATAGGTCAGTCCAAGAGGTCAGATGTACAAAGAAGCGGACAGAGTAGTGAGGGCTCTGGAAGTGCTCATGGATGGAAAGGGCACCTCAAATAAAGGGGGTGTAGGAGGTGGCTCTGGGAAGGAAGAGCAGAACAGAGACTCAGGCTGCAGTCAGAGGTTATGTGGGCTGAAGAAGGGACTGACCTGAAACACAACTCTCCCTTTCTCTCTAGGCAGTCGGGAGGCAGCATTTGTGTATGCCATCTCATCAGCCGGTGTGGTCCATGCCATCACTCGTGCATGTAGCCAGGGTGAACTCAGTGTGTGCAGCTGTGACCCCTATACCCGTGGCAGACACCATGACCAACGAGGGGACTTTGACTGGGGTGGCTGCAGTGACAACATCCACTATGGCGTCCGCTTTGCCAAGGCCTTTGTGGATGCTAAGGAGAAGAGACTGAAAGATGCCCGGGCCCTCATGAACTTACATAATAACCGCTGCGGCCGCACGGTCAGTACTCGTGTCTGTATGTGTACGTTCATATTTGCTGAGGGTGACCCGTATGCATGACACTGGATGAAATGTGAAGGTGGAAGAGCTGTGGGCTTCTGGATAACTTCCCAAAGCCCCAACATCTTGGAACAGGAGCACTGAATGCAAGGAAGCCTAGGAATTCTTACAGTGTCAACCAGGTGCATAGAGTCTTCACATAGGTGGAAAGTAGGAAAAGGAGGGAAGTAACTTCTTAAGAACAAGAACTACTTTCAGGCTGGATGTGATGCTGGATTCACATGGAAGATGAGGGTTTGAGTCCTGGGTTAACCTGTACAGGTCAGGCACATGCACACATGTTGGTGATCCTGGCTGCCTGGGAAGACCTGGGGGAAGGATCATGGCATGAGGGTACCTTCCCCCCTCTCCTCAGTCTGTGTCTCTCTCTTGCATGAAAGAAAGAAAGAAAAGAAAAATCCTGTCTTCATAAAGACTGCGAATAGCAAATTCACTGGTATTTGGGCAGCTCAGTACCGTGCTGGAGAATGGCATACCATGAAAGCGGATGGCATGGTACTTGGTACATTCACACACATGCAGACTAGAGGATGCACGAGGGTACTGTTATCATGAATGCAGCCCTGTGGCTCTAATGTCCTACAAGCTATAATGTAAAGCTTGTTGTCTTAGTAATTTGATGCAAGGGTTCAGCCAGCCGGGGCCTGACCCAGCAGATCGCAGAGCACTTATGCTGTCAGCCATAGGGGTGACTGAAAAATGCCCTGCCCAGCTGCCTCTCTCTTACCTGCCTCCCCTTTCCCCCAGGCTGTGCGGCGGTTTCTGAAGCTGGAGTGTAAGTGCCATGGTGTGAGTGGCTCCTGTACTTTACGCACCTGCTGGCGTGCACTCTCAGACTTCCGCCGTACAGGTGATTACCTGCGGCGACGCTACGATGGGGCTGTGCAGGTAACGGCCACCCAGGATGGTGCCAATTTCACAGCAGCCCGCCAAGGCTATCGCCGTGCCACCCGGACTGATCTTGTCTATTTTGACAACTCCCCAGACTACTGTGTCTTGGACAAGGCTGCAGGTGAGTAAGGAAAGCAGGTAGGACATGGAGCCTCAGCTCTTCGTGCAGGCACCCCTGGTTAACCAGTCTGCTATGTAGTCTCAGGAGTTAGGGAGGGGTTGCTATGAGAGATGCTCGTCTCCTCTCCACATGAAACCTGGTCAGGAGATGGCTGACTTAGGCCTGTTCGCCAGGCCCAATGCTGTCCAAATAGAGAGGAGGTTACTCAGCTCCTTGCACCCTGAGGCCACATGGGGCTCATTTGTATCCCCAGCATCTAAGATATAGCAGATACTACTGAATGAATGTTTACATGAGTCACCTGTGTTCCATTCTGAACAATGGGTGGGCTACACAGAAACATAAGACACAGCTTAAGTCGTTGGCTCTTTACAACCTAGCTAAAGAAATGAAATGTAATGAGTGGATAAATGTAACCAGAAAGAGGGATGACTGAAGACATCGAGAAAAGTTTATTTGAAAATTGGAAACTTCGGCTGCTCTATGAAGTGTGGGGATTATCTGGTATAGCTGGAGAGAAGACTAGGCAGACGTTCTCTGCACGCAAGCAGAGTAGTAGGTGGGAAAGCACGTAACGTGTTCCAAGGACAGAGAGCAAATCCGTCTATGTAAAGGTTTCTAGTAAGGGAGACTAAAGCTAGAAAGGTAGGTTGGAACCAGACCAAGAATGACCTTGAAGGGCTTGGACTGGCCTATGGCATGGTGGTTAAGGCAACCGGATCCCACATGGGTGACTGCACTGCTGGAATCTCAGGCCCAGAGGCTTGAGAAACATGCTGGGATACATATGCGTGCCCAAGATCCTGAAAAGAGGGAGAGAGAGAGGAAAAGAGATTGTAGCAGAGCCATCCCTCATGGGAGGTGCTTTATACCTTCCTTCTCTACTATCTCTTGCTCTCTGTTTCTCTTTCTCTCTGGGGAGTGAGTACATCCTCTAGCAGATAGAAAAAAAAACAGGAAAGAAAGAGTGAGAGTGAGAGATAGAGAAAGGCTTTATACAGTGCACTGCCATTGAACATTCTAAAATGGAGTTGGGGAAGCAAGAAAAGAGGGGATCACTACTAAAGACAGGTTAAGCAGTAAATATTTGGTTGCAAATGGTTATCAGAAAGCAGTAAATGGTTTTTCTTTAATCTGTTCTAGATATTTATGATGGAATTCTTGGGGATGCTGCAAGGAGATCCTGCAAGGGGCTACAGTATTTACCCCAAAGAGTGGAAGTTACTTTCCCAGCTCATATTCCAGGTTTAGACAGGTTAAATGACATGTAGCATGACAGAACTGCTCCTTCCCTGGTTACAGTCATGGGGCTCCCGAGCTCTTTTCTACATATTCAACAGTCAGGAGTCGGGGAGCTGTCTTCAGAACTGTTCCCCTATCACTGTCATTCCTAGAGAGTCAAGTGGCTTAGAGCAAAACGGCACAGAAACAGGGTGGGCCTCTACCCAAGTAACAGAGAAAGTAATTTGTGTACTTCAAAGGGTGCTAGAAGAGAAAAGGTTGGGAGAGTTCTGAATCTCCAAGTGATTTCCCACCACTAGGTTTTCCTTCCTTATGGTCTGACTCGGAGGGTTACTCTCTGGATGCCTGGATATAGTTTGCTACATCTAAGGTGTAACGCTAGACTGCCATACCTAAAATGCACCTTTAAGGGGAAGGATCTTTGGAGTTAGGAGAGAGAATGAATCATATGTGTGCTGGTTTTTCTGAAGCATAAAACTAGACCTTGTAAAATCCAAAGTGGGACCCAGAATTCAAAGAGTATAAGTTATCCCAAAAGGTGGTATGGCACAGGAGTTCCCTCTGAAGCAGGACTATCCAAGAGAGTTTTCCATGACTCTAGAAATGGTCTTATATTTGTGTTCTCCAGTACAGTGCACCTAGCCACATGTGATCACTGAGGACTTAAAACTACAGCTGGTGTGACCAAGAACTAAGTACTTTAGTTTATTTACATTTTCTTAAGAGAGATTTTTGCTATGGGGCACGTGCCCTCGCCAGAGAGACAGAAAGTGAGAAATCATCCCTCAAAGTGGATGGCCATGCTGCAATCCCTTGTCGTCCATTCTCCTCTTGGGATTTTGGACACGCACACACACATGCCCAGCTTGAGTTTTAAGCTCCCTGGTCTGGGACTCAAATTGCGGTCAACTGCATGGAAGTTTAGCAATGTAACCATGATGCCAACTGTTGGTCCCTAGTTTATTTCATTTTGATTTGAAAAATTTCAAAGACCACTTGTGGCTAGGGGATACTGTACTGGACAGCATAACTTCAGAGTATAGAAAAGGTATTTGGTGCACAAAAGAAGGACTTAAAACTTTTGGACTTAAAAGAATGACATAATAGGTCCTGTCACCCACACTCCAGAGAAATGTCTCCTAACACTTTGGATTGTACAATCCTATCATTAAAAAACAAAAACAAAAACAAAAGAACAACAACAAAAAAACGATCATGTACCTCCATTATATGTATACTTTCTTATAAGTTATAGCTATGTTATATGTTTATTATAAAGTAGACGTACAAACTATATTTTTTACATTGATAAAAACAAATATAGAAGTTCTAGCAGTTTCTTTCCATATTCCAGTGGGATGTGGAGACTGCTACTATAGAAATCAGTAAATCTGTTCTCCGTCTTGAACCCCCTAATCCACTTTCCCATTTCTGAGTCTTCATTAATAAGGGAAATGGTAGGAATTTTTATTCTATAGGGTCCAATCCATCCCAAATTCTATGATTTCATGACCTATTGGCAGGATCTCTTTTTCCTTTTTTTTTTTTAATTGCCAGAGGGCATGTGAGACAGAGACAGAGAGACACACAGAGAGGGAGAGGGAAAAAGGACCCCTTCCGCCCCCCCAGTGAGATAATGGTCACGCCACAGTCCCTTCTCCATTTCTCCATCTGTCAGGATTTGGGCAGACATGCACACTTGCCCAGTGTGTTTTTCAGTCCTCTGGGTTGGGATTCAGACTGTAGTTGGTCCTGTAGGATCTGGCTCCCTTAACCACTAGGCCACAGGGCCAGCTTGGCAGGATCTCTTTCATTGAAATAAGTCAGAATGAGATCCTGAGCATTCCCCATGCAGAACAAAACATCATTTCTACCTTTCAAGTGTTCCACTATAAAGGGATAATGAAAGAGATACTCCTTAGCAGCTCTTTAGGGATATGCCTCCAGCCAGTTATCTAATCTGTTCCCTTCCTCAACTGAACAGAGAATACAGATAACAATCCACTAAGTTAGATGTCATTATGCCCATTTTCATAGATGACAAATTACAGACTAAGTTTTTGAAAAAAATTATTTAATTTTATGTATTATTATTATTTAATTTGCTGTAGGGCTCATGCACTCACCAGAGAGAGAGAGAAAGTGAGAAAGCAGGCCATCAGGTGCAGGACTCAAACCACGGTCAGCTAACCACCATGCTACCTGCTGACCCTTAGACTAAATTTTTTAAGTTTATTTCTTCCATGAGAGAGACAGACGGGTAGGCATCCACAGTAGGGTCTTCATACCGTGATTTAACCCCCAGCCAGCCTGGTTCACAGGGACGTGCACCTTGTGTGTACCTTGTGTGCTCAGGGAGGTCTTGGGACACCAACCCAGGTCCTGTCTCATGTGGGTCTAGTTGAGTTATCACTGAGCCACTGGCCCTTAGGCTAAAATGTTTTGCTTTTGTTTTTATTATCTATTTATTTAATTACTTGTTTTATTCATTTTTAAAGCATTAATTAATTTGTTTACTTAAATTTTTTTTTCTTTTTTCTGGAAAGGTTTTTGCTACAGGCTGAGTGCACTCGCCAGAAAGACAGAGAGAGACAGAGAGACAGAAAGGGAGAAATCACCCTCCAGGGGCGATGGCTACACCACAATCCCTTCTCCTCCATTCTCCTCTCGGGATCTTAGGCACGCACACACGCACGCACACACACCTGGCATGAGTTTAAGCCACCAGGTCCGGGACTAGAACCACGGTCGACTACATGGGAGTCCAGCAACACAGCCATAACACCAACTGCTGGTCCCAAGTTAGTTTTTTTTAATTACCAAAGAGTCTGTGCGCTCACAAGAGAGTGAGAAACAGAAAGCACCCCCTCAACAGTGAGTGATCATGCTGTAATCCTTTTTCTTCCATTTCTCCATCCCATCAGGATTTGGGGTACGCGTACCCAATGACATGTTTTTAAAGCTTTTGTGGACTAGGCCTCAAACTGTGGTCAGCCATGTGGAATCTCAATCCCAATGCACAGGGCTTAACTACTGGGCAACCCTAGGATTAGATTTTGAAGAAGGTATGGAAATATGTATTGGCAGACAGGGAATTGCAGGTAAAGTCAGTGGTCTTAATAGTGGGAAGAAATAAACCTGGTACAGAGAGGGCAGTGAGGAGATAATCATTTGGACTTTATATTCAGAAAAAGGGATTCTTTGGGGCTTTCTTCTGAGAATGTGGGTAAGGGAACCCAGAGCAGCTGAAATCAGAGGTACCATGTTCTTACTCCCTCTCTTCCCCAACACAGGTTCCCTGGGCACTGCAGGCCGTGTCTGCAGCAAGACATCTAAAGGAACCGATGGGTGTGAAATCATGTGCTGTGGCCGAGGGTATGACACAACCCGAGTCACCCGTGTCACCCAGTGTGAGTGCAAATTCCACTGGTGCTGTGCTGTGCGGTGCAAGGAGTGCAGAAACACTGTGGACGTCCATACCTGCAAGGCCCCCAAGAAGGCAGAATGGCTGGACCAGACCTGAACACACAGATACCTCACTCATCCCCGCACTTCAGGCCTCCCAACTCAAAAGCACAAGATCCTCGCATGCACACCTTCCTCCACCCTTGACCATGGGCTGCTACAGCTATTTAAGGACTTGGAGAGTAATCCAGAGGGACTGTGATGTCCTGGCTGATTCCACAGTCCTGGGAAGGAGTTGACAGGGGATATAAGAAACTGAGCGGCTCCCTGATATCCCCCTCTGGAGGCTTGAAGGGAAAGTAGAAGAGGTAGGGAGTCTTCAGAGTGATGTGAGTTGCACTAAAGTAGATGGTCCAGGCTCATTTTATCTTTCCCTTGCACTGGCTTTCTGACACTTTTGCAAGAGGAAGTCTACTTGGAGAGCTTTTTTTTTTGTTCTGATCTGGCTGAAGGTAGATGGGACGGAGATGAACTGCATGTCCCTTCCTTAGAATCAGTTTGAGCAGACTGCCTGGTACCCAGAAGAAGATCTTAGGCTATAATGTTCTCCTAGTACTGAAAGCCTGAGATTGTTAGACAAGAGTTAGCCATAGCAGACAAGATTCAATTCACATGCTCATATGTTTATAAACTGTTGTGTTTTGTAGGGGAAAAAACATCATTTACACAGTCATTCATTCTCTCTCTGTTCCATCCTATATCAGACAACACTGCCACTTTTTCTCACTTGCTGCCTGTTCAAATTGAGGTGGCCTGGTTCCTGTGCCTAGCAGGTGATTAGAAGAGCCTGGGATGCTCTTAAGAGGAATTTAGTAAATCTGGCTAGGTGTTGGGATTTTTTTCCCATGCATGATTCTGGAAGTTAGCCAGGTTAGGAAAACACTGAGTAAATGACAGGTAACTCACAGAGAGTGGGAGAGTAAACAGGCCTGATCTCAAGGGCCCACAATGAGGTATCAGTGCATCCCAAGCAGGTAGGGATCTCTGGCTTTGGTAACTCTTTACAAGAGGATGCTAGCCTTTGAAGCTGGAAGCAGAAGCGAGTGGCTAGATAGGGAAGGAGAGCTGAGGCTTGGGGCCAAAGTGGTAAACAGCTCAGAAGGCAGCCTTCCCCATGTACACAACAAATCTTTATTTACTGATTTTCCAAATCCTGGTTATTATAATTCACTCCACATTTGGCGTAAATAGAGGAGTATTCCTTCTCTGTCACTACCCCTTGTCTGATTAGGTTTGCAGTTAGAAATAGCAGGCTTAGTAAGCTGGAGGGGTAGGACAAGGGGTCCCAGAACCCTTGGTGTCCTTTTTTTTTTCTTTTATTTTTGAGTCTACTATAGGCATGTGTGCTCACCGAAGAAACAGAGAGAAAGAGGGAAACTGAGAAATAACCCCCCCCCGGGGGATAGCCACACTACCACACTACCATCCCTTCTTCTCCATTCTCCTCTCAGTACTTTAGACATGCATGTAAACATACCTGGAGTGGTTTTCAAGCTGCTGAATCTAGGACTCAAACCACATAGTCAACCACATGGAATCCAGCTGCCTTAACCTCCACGAAATCTGCTGGCTTGTGGTGTCCTATTTTTATGTGCCTTGGAGAATAGTTATCTCTTCCCTGTTGATATTTTAAAGCAATAGTCTAATATAGAAATAGACAGTTATACAAACCTGAGTTAAATCACAGCTGTGCCACTTAATGTTTTGATATTTTGAACAAGATACCTAATTCTCAGCCTCTATTTTCTCATCTGCAAAATGAGCGTACATACCTTTTTCAGATATTGAATTGTTTTATTTTTAATGCCAGAGGGGACAAGTGTGTACATGAGGGAAAGCACCCCCAAAACTGGGCCTGGCCATGCCACAATCCTTTTTCCTCCAGTTCTCCATTTCATTATGATCCTGGGTACTTGTGCATGACTAGTGTGTTTTTCAAGCCAATAAGGCTGGGACTTGAACCCTGCCTGCCACATGGGATTCAGCTTTCTCTGTGTAATACCTAACCACTACATTACAAAGTTGGCCTAGATACTGACTTTAATACTGAGTTAAATTATGTCCCCAGAGCCAACAGATACTCTTTTTTTAATTTTTCCTTTTTAATTTTATAGTGTGCATGTGCTTACCAGAGACAGAGGGAAAATAAGAAATCTAACCCCAAGAAAGGATGGCCACACTATAATCCTTCCTTCTCCATTCTTCTCTCAGGATTTTGAGCACTCATGCACATGAGCCTGGTGTGTTTTTCAGGCTGCCAGGTCTGGGAGTTGAACCACTCAGACAGCCACATGGGATTCAGTCGCCTTAAACACTAAACCACCGGCTGGCCCCCAACAAATGCTCTTCACCAAAGCCCCTGATTCAGCCCATCATGACTTCTCTAGGAACTTTCCATTTCGGAGTGTAAAGTACGAGTAGCAGGCTGTAGATTAAGGGGCCTACCTAAGGAATTTTGGAGCTAGGCCCCCTTTCCTTTCCCAAATTCCTCTTCAATATCCCTTAGGTTCTCATATGTTTGTGGAGCAGCTTCACTCTTCAGGCAGCAACAGGTTAGGGGAGCCATAGCTCTGGGACTCAGAGGCAGATTTATTTGGATGATAGGACTAATATTTGTATAACCTGCTGAGACCCGTGTGGGAGAGTTTAGGGTGGTTTTTCTTTTGGTGAGGGGATTTGCTCCAGTTTCACATCCATTAACACAAAACATGAGCTAGTCAGGGCCCTTGTGGTCTGTGGTGAGGGGATGCCTGTGGAGAAATGGGGCTGAGTGAGTCAGGCCAGGGGAATGTCTTCCTTGCAGAGCTGAGTCAAAGGATAACTGATGAGCCAATGGTGGGATTAGGGAGGGGGAAATGGGAGGGGAAGAGAAGAGCTTCTGAGATTTGGGGATTAAGAGGAGGAAAGCCTTGGGGTAATAGGGAGGTAAGGGGGTCATGGTCAGTCTGAACATAAGGACAGGGTTGAATGAATTTGCGAAAGGGTGCTGTTTTGTATGCTGGGCTGCTAGGAAGAAGCTCAGGTTCCAGCCAGCCCCAGTCTGCACAAGAACATCCAGATTACCACATAAATAATGGCATAGGCCTTCCATGGGAAGTCAACCTGATTTAACATCTACCAGTGCCCTACTATCCACTCTTTGGTTTTGGGTTCTTGTCCTGTGGAAGGAAGTGGGCACCTTCTGGCATCTCATACAGCTCTATGCTTTTCTCTGGGTCCCAGATTCTAGATCATAAAGATGCACATTTTGTAATTTCCTAAATGTGGTTAGAAGAAAAACAAGATGTCCAGACTGAAATTTGGAAAAGTGAGGTGGGGGAGAGACGATAGCCATTGAGCCCCACTATAGAGGTCATGTGGTCCCCAGAAGGACTAATGACTAAGAAATTAAATTTTTCCTTTTGGTCCTTACCTTGCTTCTGTATTCCAATTGGCTTTAGATAACTGGTGGCCATTATGCACTCTACAAACCAATTTATTTGGAACAAGAACAAAATACAAACTGTATTTGGTACAGTCTGGGCTCCACTTAATTCTGCTGCTACTCCTTCCCTCTGCTTCCAATCACCCCCTCTCCCATCCTACCTCTCTAGGGTAAAGGTCTATCTCTTAAATCAGCAGTGTCGTAGTTTCTCCTCTCTTCCATTCTTTCCTCACTTCTTCTAAATTTTAATAACTATTTAGATAATAATGCATTACAGTAAGCACTATTTGGAAACAAAGTTAACTTAAAAGATATCTCTGTCCTTTAAGGATTTTAGAATCTTTGAGAGAGGATACATGACTGAAGTACCTTTGCTGCACAGCCTGTAAGAGTTTCTCCTGTGTAAAAGAATGCCAGCTTTACCTAGCCCTGCAGATTAAGAGCCAAGTTTTATTATTACTAGCCCTGAATACAGGCACTAATCCACACTCTTCCTTAGAGTGATGCTGGAAATATAAAATCAGGGACTTCAGATTAATTATAAGAATCAAACAATGCCTGATCCTGAGGGTCTGTTTGCAAAAAGTCTCATAGACCTGACTTATGAATACTCACTGCCTCATTTCTATTCCTCCCTGTAGCACAGAGTAATTTCTTTTTTCTCTCACTTCCGTTATCAAGAACACCAACTATTAAAGCCCTTGCCAAATTCTCAGACTCACTCAGGACATGAGTTTCAACATGGCTAATAGAAGAGATAATAAGGATTTTTTTTCTCTCAGTCTTTGCGAGGTTTTTATTTAAATGCTCACAGTGGTCATAGGGCAGAAGCCCAAGCGAGCTGGGGAGAAGGGAGGACGCCAGGGAGGGTACGTTTCTCTTCCCTGGGAGGCATTCATTCTAGCTCCTGCAGCCAAATTACAACACCAGAGAACAATGTGATGCATTCCTGGGCAGGTCGGTGGGACCCTGGACGCCTGAGCCTTGTGGAGAGAGGTGCCAGACACAGAGCTCTCCGTAAGCAATCCTGCAGAGCCGCCCCCTGGGTGCAGAAATGAAATACGGGAGAGCTTCACATTACACAGAGACCTGTAGCTCACACCTGGTTATTGATGGCCTTGGTGGAGGCCTCTGCCCCTGCCCTCTACTTGGGAACTGCCTTTACTATGGGGGTTGGGCATCTATGAAGCAATGTTGGAAAACAAGAAAGAGATGCTTCCTTTCACTCGTTGCCCTCCCAGTCAGCTTGAGCACAACAACGAGGATATGCACACCCAAGGTGCACAAATACGGACACACACGGCTTGTCTCGGGCTGCATAGTCCTCCCCTTCTCCCCAACAATAAAAAAATATGCAACTAGACTTCAACCAAATCCTTCAAAACTCATACCAACCTCCGGGTCCAGCTATAAACAAGAAATATTACAAAGTTGCATTATCAACAGGCAAGCAACTGTTTGGTTTGGGGACTGGTACTCTGGGAGGTGGCACAAGAAGCATGCAGAAAGGGCATGGAGAGAAGAGATCAATGATGAAGAACTACCCCCAGACAGAGTGGTGGAGCCCATACAATTTCTCAAGGCTGGCTCACGTGGAGACAGTGAGATGCCCACCTTATGTGCCCTGAATGATGGTGCAGCCTCCTGCAACTACTGAGGTATAATTGCCAAACCTGCTGCTCATGACCTGTTGTTATTGCTGGTTTTTTTTTTTTTTTTAAGAATTATTTATTTGTTTAATTTTGTTTGTTATTATTTTTTTCAATTTGACCAAAGAGAGACAGAGAAGGAGAAGGAGAAAGTGAGAAAACAAGCCACCATGTCCAGGACTCAAATCGTGGTCTTCCATATGGAAGGGAGTCCAACACCTTAATCACCACGTCACTAACCAGCCCATGACTGCTGTTTTTAACTCTTACTGGGTTAGAAAGCAGGAGAGCATTGGATTCCAGAGATGATCTCTCTAAGAGAGGCACTGAGAGAGATCAACCAGTGGCTTTACTCAGGAAAATGTGTCATAGTTGCTACACTGAAAGCTTTCCCAGAGCCGTTATTCTCTTTGGGTGATTGGCAGGTCTCAGACAATAGCAGTAGGGTTGCAGTGTTATTCCTATCCCTGACCCCAAAGGTAAAAGAGATAGGAGAGAGTTGATAAGCTCATTTTCCCACTTCCCATTCATGGTTTAAGTGATCTATGAGAACCGTTTTGGCTATTCCTCACGTATTTGAGATGGTTGAGTCACCTGGATTTGAGACAGCATTTTCCCCTTGGCTGCCTAACTCTGAACTATCTGGTTTAGATACTGCCTTTGCTCCATCCACTCTGCCTGAGACTACTGACGGAGCAGCTGTGCATGGATGTTCTCTCTCTCTGACCAAAAAAGCCTAAATCTGGTGACTTTACCTTACCACCCTCGCCCCTGAAAGCACCCCTGACCAAACAAAAAAGCTAAATCAAGTGAAGAAAAAAAGAAGACAGTTTCATGCATAGTTGTCCTATTTGACAATTTCCAACGTGAGGCTTCTCCAAGAATAACAAAAGCTTTTTCATTTACAAAATGCTTTAGCATATACATAATCTTCACAGCAACCCTGTAAGGTAGAGGTTAGTCTTTTTTCTTTTTTCTCCCAGATGTCATTCAGAGAGGTCCAGCGATTTGCCTAAGGGTCACATGGATGGTCAGTGCCTCAGTCAGAACTGAAACCTAAGTCTTGTGACTTCAAATCCTGTGTACTTTCCCCAAGGCCTGAGGATGCCCAGGGTTGAGGGCACTAGAGACCCAACATCTTCAGAGTAGAAACTGATCCAACATACTCAGTCCTATCAGAGTCCTAGGACTGCCAGGAGAATGTAGCTAAGCAATATACAAAGAAACAGCCTAGGCCTCCCTGAACCTCATCATCAAATGCCATTTTTGCCATTTCTGCCCCT